AGTCTTGCACCTGACCTGCGGTCAGGTGCAAGACTGTAGCCAATTAACGTTTCGGACGGCGCAGTGCATTGTGGGATCCCGTAATGTTCGGCGTTCAGCGAACGCTAGAACAGGCTATGTTCGAGTCGAACCTATGTTCGACTCGAACATGCAGCCCATCCCTACTGGCAACCAGTGACGTTAGTGTGCTGGGCAGGTTGCTGGCGGGATGCCAGCCAGAGTATCACTGGTTGCTAAGAAAGCGGGTGGCATGGTAGGGAGGCAGCAGGCAAACCTGCAGTCCCCCCCCACATGACCATTATAGGGATGAGCCTGCTGGCAGAACCATTCTAAGTCATAGAGCACTGACTGGCTTAGGTCATGATGTCTCCATCTCGGTCTAAGTGCTGCTTTGAAAGGGAGGTTAAGAAGAAAGTTTTAGATATGTACGATAGTTCGTAAAATTCTTATCTCATGCTCATCTCATCTGGAGACAAGTGAGATCACAGGAATGCAGAGGGAGGGGGCTTGCTCTCACAGGAATCAGCACAGGCTCTAGAACTGGAAGGGGAGTCTTTTTTATGTTGGGAACGTGCAGGGACAATGAGATAAGACCTGTTAATCAAGAGTCAGCGTGTTTAGGAATGAAGAGTAGTGCATTATAAAAGACTATCTGCTGCACACAGAAGCATAGAATAAAAAACAACAAACTGTGGGAGTTAGGTGATTGAGCTGTGAAAATAATACAAGGTGAGACTTCTTCCTTAATATGACCTTTTGCAGTCCTTGTACCACAGAGCTCAAACGGAGCTCACAAAGCCATTCTGCTAATCTGGGATATGCTGTTAGAGAGATGAGTACATAGGTCTGCTGCTTGTCATTTCACTGTCCAGTCACAGGCAGATAGAGGGACAAGACCTGTAAGTGTTATTGAATTAAAGATCGAGAAAAATCAGGTCTCCTGGCCTGCCAGACAGGACTGTGCTGTGCGGCAGAGCTGTGTAAATCTCAGGACTAGATTAACAGAAAATCAAATCCTTTGGCAGGTAAAACGGCTTCCATATATGTATTTTATTTGTTTTTCTCATTTGTCTATTTCTCAATTAAAGCCCCAGAAACCAACATCTAGGTAGAATGTTGTATTCAAAACTGAAAACCTACCCTAACAATATGTCATCCATTTTTTTGTAATTATTGTTAGTGTATGCAGCAACAGCTATGCTGGAGATAAGATCAGTGAAACTACTTGAAAATGTGTCATGCAGGAATTCTCAGATGGTGGTTTGTGCACCCTAGAGATACTTCTAGTAGCTGAAGCTGTAATGTTAAAATAAATCAGTAGAGCTGTTTTACATTTTAATAAATAATACATCATGTGTGGAACTAATCTGAGTGCATATTGTTTGTTATTCAGAAACAAAGTCAGCCTCAAGTGATGCTAAAGTGGTAAAAATTCAGCTTCTGATACATAAGCAGGCCTCTCCTGGTTCCTGCATGTCAACTTGCTTAGCTGCGCAGTGTCCGGGTACACCAATCTACAGGGTGCTGAAAATAAAAGCATTCAAGTCGAACTAAACTGTCAAAAAGAATACTTTGAATAAAGTGCAATGAAAGTAAAGCAGGATTATTGTTTGTTAGAAAAATATACTTTTTTCCTAACTTTGTACATTTGCTGTACACATCCTGTTGACACTTTGTGTAAACATCCTGTGCACATGGGAACACTCCAGTGACAGTTAAACATCGGCTTTACAATGGTGCCAATAGCAGAATGTCCCAGTGCACTGAGCAATGTCATAGTTGCGTGTAGTCCTACTCAGGAGAGCACAGGAGCTCAGTAGGAAAGGTTTCCCTTTACTTTATGCTCAGAGATAACATTTTAGATTCCTTCATATGATATGCCTGATCAGCCCACGGGGGATCCTGTAAAGCACTTCAGTAGCTAGAACTACTACAGTGCTTTATAGCGATTTTCAGGGTACTGTATGGCACTTACCCTCTGCTCTGAAAACACAGGGGGTTGCTTGCTCAGTTCAGTGGTCATTTAGAGAATGCCTGGTATTTTTTATCAATAAACAAAAGGAAATCAAATCAAAATGAACAAAATCAGAGAACGCCTTGCTTTACATGAACCTTGTGGGTTGACCTGGTATATCATATGCATTCATACACTGGGTCAACCTGAATCAACACAAGTATGCTTAATACTTTTACCTGGCATTATAAGCAGCTTTAATAAATATAAGCAGCTATAATAGAGAAAGGGCACCCTTACACTGACTTTTCTGAAGAACGAGCACAGCAGAGGTGATCTCTTTCCAGGTTAGATCTCTGCCACTATAACCTCTATTAGAGACATTCGGAGAGAATGGGAGGGATGGGAAGGAATCACGTTTCTGATTTTGAACTTGCCTATATAAACTTAATTTTGAGTTATTGATCTCTTATTAATAAACAGGCTTTTTACAACAAAGTAGCAAATTAGATAGAACAAATAAGAAAAGGACAAAAAAACTTTACCATCTGGCAGAACATGAAGGCACATGTATTAATAGTTACTATTTCATATTTACCTGTACATAAATACCAGGGGTACTTGGTTGTTACACTTGTGCATAGATTTATGAAATGCAACAGTTAAAGTAAGTATATGTTGAATACCTTGTCATACTGACACACTATTACATTGTCTGTGTCAAACAAGTCTGGGACTTCTTGCTCGCTCACATCATCTCCAGAGTTTAATGGGTCCTGATTAAAAAAGAAAGAGGATGTATTTACTAAAAATGGAATGGAACTGTATCTAAAGCCGGTTATTTTTTTCATTTTGGATAAAGTGGGAAAGGGTTTTGGTGTTTTTTTGTTGTTGTTTTTTTTTGCTTTGCATTCTGTGTTCCGCTGGGGAGCTTTAAGCTTTACGCTCTGTAGGTTTGTCCTGTTTACCATTGTCACAGGGACCAGAAGTGTGCGGGGGGAAAAAAAAATCAAACATTTTGTATGGTCTCTGGGTCAGGAAAAGAGAAGAAATATTCCAATGACAACTGTCTAAGAAGATTTTCCATACTTTGAAGAGATTTCCTCTAACTTCCTGGTGTGTCCTAAGACAGGAAGTGAAGGAAGACCACCCCTCTAACAGGAGACAGACAGGGAAAAAATACTTGTCAGAGTTTTTTTACCCTTCCTTACTCCATACAAAAAGGTTTGTCTTTATATTTACTTAAAATAATACAGGTGATCAAAAATAAGAATTAATATGTCATGCCTTATTCCTGGCTGATTCTCAGCAGATTACTGTCCTAAAGCAGTTTTTTCTATAGTCCATCCTTAGAAGTGGCAAAGGACAGAAGCTGTACAATTGATCAGAAGGAAATCCTAACAGGAAGAAAGGTAGACTTTCTATTCTATAAGTGAGGAAAAGGAACCCCCATCAACCCTTTGGGTATGCTTTCTCACTGCTTAATCCTGCTAGAGACTGGGAGCATTTACATCTGTAGAATATTTAGATGTTTAATACCCACAAATCACAGAAGCAGGGGGTTGTCTTAAACAGTAATTTGTTTCCTAAAATATGCCAAACCTTTTGTGTATAACTGCTGCCTCTAGCAATTGTATGTAAATACAGTTGCATTGGTATTATTGTGTATTAGTATAGTTAATTTTTGGTATGCTGCCGCCTAGTGGTCATTAGATTACACCCTGTTTTTTCTGTGTTTCCTCCCCTTTTATAATGAAACACCTCCTTCTTCCAGTGTCCTGGATACAGCCATTTTCTGCCCACATGTGCACATGAGGAGAGGAAGGCATTACATTTCTAACCTTCAAATACTAACATTTCAACCACCTGCTACATCCTATTGTCTGGCAGTAACCTGCTGCATTCAATAAAGATCTTCATGGATGAAACATATTTTGGCAAGTTCAGCTATCTGGTAAAGATTGGCTGTGTTGATTGTATCTGCTATTTACAGGCCAGGCATGGAGGTCTCAGGAAGGGATAAATCACATTCAACAATTGGAGTCAGAATAATAACTATAAACTAAAAAACAGACGCAGGTTAACATTTTGGTTTCTTTTAAATTTAAGAAAAGGAAGCCTCAGAAACCAACCTTTAGGTATAGTCAGGTAAATGATGACATCCTCAGAAACTCTATTTTTAGTCTGCATTCACATAAGGATTTTATCTGCGTTTGGAGATTCCTGTGGCAAAACCTATGGATTCTTGCTGCAGGAATCCTAGGTGTGCTTTGTGTGGCTGTCACCATGTCATTAACATAAATGGGCACAGAGTCTGTAGGTTCTTGCTGCAGGAATCCCTGAATGCAGATAAAGTCACAGTGTGAATGCAGCCTAAGTGCTTGCTCAATGCTCAACCCTGCATGAGAGAATTAATTTCTAGAGGAATGCTTGGAATGGTATCAAACCATGAAAGTTTATTACCCAAAACCCACAGAAGAATAAATGTCGGAAACCGGATTTATTTCCAACTATAGACCCAAAACTTTATGACGTGTTAAACTTAAATTAGACACAGATTAACATCTGTTCATTTGTTGTCCCTTTGGGGCAGAGACTGCCATAAATGGTACGGTGAACTTTGTACAGTAGTTATTTAAAAAAAAAAACAAGGTCATCTTACTGTTCAATTTTATATTTACAGATGAGTACTAATGCTATATACCTAGTAACTAAATAATTATAACAGACTCCTAAAACCACCACAAAGAAGTCTAGAACATTATTATGTGTAATAGACTACAAAGGTCAATTGTTTGCTCCATCAATTTACTGAGGTTTTCTGGAAACCAATCACGTCTGTACAATGAATTCATTAATTTTGCTAAAGGAAACAAGTAATTTAAGTTATGTGACAGCGTAACGCTGAAACGTAGATTTAGATACCTTGAAGAGACACACTAAACACATTTGAAGCTGCCTGATACAATTGTGTCCAATATTACCCTGATTTATCTAGCACAATTAAAATCAGTAACATTAATTGATTCCTCAAGATGTGTCAGCATGATGGGAAAAAAGAATCAATGGGAAGAAAAATCACCAAGGTAAGCCTTCGATTTGACAGCTTTGTAATAAAAATGTATCATATACCTAATTCATAGCCCTAAGGCTTATAGAGCTGGGTTGAAATTAAGAGAGATAGTCAGACAGACATAATTACACAAGGTTCATCCCATATTAAAATGCAAAATGTTTCATTCAGCTTTACTTAATTTCACTCATTCCTACACGGCTTCTAAACACATTAGACATTGTGCCTTTATTGTACAGTTTTTAGGCTGCTTACCTATACTGTACATACTAATGAATGGAAGTGAATGTAAATGCCTACAAAAATCCATCCTTGACCAACAGCTAATCAGGTTTTCCAATACTGTCTGGGCACAGGGTAGAACATAGGCAGTCAAAGATTGAATTTCATACTGCTCAACTGCAATAATTGCCACCACAGTGTCTCAAATCAGTCCTTTTTTGTGTCAGAACCAGGAGGTCCAACTACAAATCACGGGGCCCTATAGCAAAACTTTAGGGCCTCCCCTGGCTAACTTTCTCTGTAGCAACAGGCAATGTCAACTGTGTCAATTCTACACAGCTAAGATAGATAAGCAAATGCTTCCTGCTGCCCATAGGGGAACCTGTAACTAGACAATTATGAGGTCTGACTTCAGCCCTTCTATCATGGAAACCTCAAAGTTTAATTTTCCTAATCAGCCCCCAATGTGGCCCACTTCTACCCTAGGTCTCATAACAGTGGCATGCTAGGACTATTGTTACATCACTGGTCAGAACGGGACAACCATTAAAAGGAAAATTCCAAATTATATCAAAAGTGATGTGAATTTTGGGATCTCTCTCCTGACTCATCATTAGAATCTGCTACTGCTAGTTGCCTCTGCTTATAAATCTGTTTTGGTTTATGCTGTCTGCCTCCTGCCTGTCCTGATCCTGTATTTTTTCCTTGACAGAGTTGACCTGAAGTCTGAATTGACCTTGTTCTGGTCCATTAACTGCTGCTGCTCTAAGCAATTCCAAGGATCACAGCCTAGTATCGTTTTGCAGCACAGCATATATATGGTTTAGGTAACTTCCTCATAGTGACTATTTAAGCGCTCTTACCTTTTGACAACAGATGGTCCAGTTTCTAATCATACAGTATTATTGTTATATTTTAGCTTCTCTTCTATTTTTTTCACCATCTTTGCATCTTTTGATCTTTTGATCTTAAAAGTGTGGTTGCAAATGCTTCTAGATATATTGGCTCTTTGTTTCCTGGAATTTGGTATGTAATTTAGAGCTGAGAAGTGTAGCGGCAAATGTTTCTAGATATATTGGCTCTTTGGTTCCTGAGATTTCAGTATGTAATTTTTTTATTATGATGAAAAATAAGTTCAAAACAACCTGTCCAATTTCATATTTTACCATTCCCCCATGCTCACTTTTGATATGTAATGCTTTTACTGTATGCTATAGTGATGAGTGAAACGGTTTGCAAACTCAGATACATTTTTGTATTTGCTTTGATATATGCATATTGATTCTGAATGAATCGCTATTGCCCATATTCCCAAACTACGTGATCATGATCCCATCATATGTATTATCCTTCTTTGCCCCAAGTTAATGGAACGCTTTGCATGGCATTTCCAGTAAACTTGTGTCTAGTGCTTGATTGGAATGATTTTGTGAAATACATTACTATTAAAAGTTTGTGAACTGCACAATGAACACATATATAATGTACCAGCGAGTATTCCTAATTTATTTTTTACTCATCCCCAACTAGTGATATACTGCTCATTGGTAGATCTCCCGCTATGCTGTGCTCCCTTCTGTGTTGGCTTAGTTTATCTACTGAATTTGCAAAGGGTATATAAAATGTAATAGAAGAGATGCCAAACTTTGTATTGTGGAATAGTATGAGGTAAGGTTCTAGGTTCACCTCATTTCATCAGCTGTATTTCCAGAGAGGAAAAAAAAAAGCATTCAAGTCAAAGACTGTGGAACTGAACTCTTGAATATTATTCACCATTATCAATGATCTACATTGTCTTATTGCTGGAAAAACAGAGACAAAGGGAATCTACCTCTTCAATTATGTCAATCTCAGAAACCTCATCATCACTGCTACTGCTAGTTGAGTCATGTGAGCCAGAATCTTCTTCCAGAGCTTTTAGGTCTTCCGTGTCAATTATGCCAAGAAACTCATTTTCATCTACATCCCTGACTGTTCCAAGCTCTTCATCAGAGGAAGTGTCCCCTGTCCCATCAAGCTGAATTATGTCAACATCTCCGGGAGATAGTAGGTCCTCCAAAGGAGATGCCTATTAGGAGAAAACAGCAACATGCTTATGCCTTGAAATCTGTAGTTACATAGCCTGGTTGAGAAAAAAAAAAAAAAAAACAGGTCCATGCAATTCAACTGAAAAGGAAAAAATAAAAATTGAAAACTTTGCATCATAAAAACTCTAAAGCCACAGTTGATCCAGAGTAAGGTAAAATCCTTTATTAAGCAATATATAATTTGCTCTAACCAGAAAAACAAATACTTCCCGATTCCCAATAGCTGGATCAACAATCTACAGTGTTAATGTCTATAAATATTAATATCCAGGTATATTGTGTACATTTGGAAACATGTCATTTCCTGAGTTGGCCAAAGATAGGTCCTGTGGAACACTATTCCACATGTTTACACCTTTAACTGCAAAGAACCATTTCTGTATACTTACAGGTTACTTTCTCCATACACAGACTGTCCACTTGTATTTTGCTAGAAGATCACTTTGATGACACTAGAGCCACATGTTTAGATGTTTTTAATTTTATGTGTGTAGCACTCACCTCCCCAAAGGAGCCAATGCATAGATCGGTCCCTACTAGCCTGTCTAGGGTTTACAGTCCCATTGCTGCCCCAAAAGCACTTACCGACCCTCCAGTGGCGACCGATAAGGCTAATTTCCAAACAGGTGTTATGATGCTGATGAATGTTTATTTGACAACCTTTGGAGAGAGAGCTTTAGGGACTGCTGTAGACTCCAAAATTCAGGGACAGAGAATTCACAGCCTTTACAGATAGAGAGGCTTTAAGCCAATCTGGCAATCTGTGTCTTTAGCGCCTTGTTGTAAATTACGTGTTGAAAAAGCTACCAAATTCAGAAAGAATTCTCAATGCCTTAGTAGAGGAACAACTTCCCTGGCTCATCATACACACAGAAGCTACTCCATGCCATCTCTATTATCAAGTCTCACTTACTAGGCCCCAGTGCCAGGCCTCAGTCTGAGCACATGGCCCCCTCCCTAGGCATCTGGCCTTGGAGGATCAGACAATCTAACATAGCCCTCTCTCAGGCCATAGCCCAGGGGAGACCCATTCTGACCTCCCAAGATCACTTCTTGAATATTTATAGCCTTTCCCAGCATGCACCACTAGTAACAAATCTCCTTGTGGTTGGCCAGGGAGGTACAAACATTCTCACCCTTATTAGTGTAGCCTCTCACACTATTACCAGTTACACTAGCCAGCAGCAGGTAAGGGTAAACACCCACCGGAGTTCAGGAGAAACATCAGAAAGCTGAATTATCAACCCAGAATCAGACTGACTACAGTCTAACAGCTTCTAAATTTAAATAGTCACTCCTGTTTAAGGCAGGGTGGCTAAATGTGGATATCATCAGCATGTAACTCTTTGATTTGGGCCCCTAAGTATTACAGCTGTGCTAGTCGAGACACATTTACAAGTGACGCTACACTCAGGACTTAAATCTTAAAATGCATTTAAGTACCTTAACTATTTAAAAAAAATGTATCTTATTTCTGTATCACTCAGCAGTAGATCCTGAGATCATCTCTGAATTTGTGTTGACACTGTCCTTACTTCTGGAGGGTGGCTATTTTTGTTCCCCATGGTCCCTGTATGTGTTGTAAAGTAGCCACTGCTCCAAGCTCGCTCCTGTGATAGACTATAATCTCAATAGGTCATAGAGTTACCCGGACAGGAGCGCCGTCGCCGCGGGCCGGCGTCTCGGCCGTGACGTCACGGCCGGCTCCTCCCCCTGGGGCGCGGCGCCTCCTCTTAAATCACAGCTGAGTCAGTCACTCGGCGTTCTATCGTCGAGCGACTGACTCTGTGGTAAACAGAGCCACAGACCATCCGTAGCCTTAGAGAAGGGGTTCAGCCTGCATACCGGGACTCAGCTACTGCCCATCTGCTACAGCTCACCCTGCTATACAGGAAGACCTCCTGTTCCTCCTGAACTTACTCCACACCAGAACCACAAGTACTAGGAGATCTTCCACCACCTGTTGGTAGTCACTTCCAACCATATAATGCTTATATACTAGCGATGAACCATGTGCATTGGTACAGATTGAACATACCATATAATTGATTGTTACAGATTACATAACTTATGCCGCTTGGTATATCCCTTCCATAGTTACCACACTGCAAACCTCCCACAGTGAATTAGTGAACGCCACTGAATAAGTCTACACAATTGTGGAGTGGATAGGGTTGATAGAAAACGCTTTCCTATTACTCCTTCGGTGAAAACTACAACTCACCACACTCCTCCACTTCAGTTGATAGTTATATTCAAGATACTTTAACTGAATACCTTTGACCCTCATTGGTCATATCCAGATAACACTTCTAGGACGGGTACATGATGTGGAACGGCCCCCCATCGCACTGAGTGTATTGGGATTCCGCAAGACTGACCAAACCCTTACTCCTAGAGTGTTAGTTCCGCAGCTGAGATCCAAGAGAGTACTGCCCTGCTGGATTGTAACACAATATCAATTAGTAAAACAAATGTGAAATTTAGAGGGGGACCAAGGTGTCTTGATAGGATGAGAGCCAGCTGTTTTTTGACCGAAGTAGCCAGGTCAGGGCAGGACAGGGTTGAGATTTTGTCATAGAGGTAGTCAGTAGCAGAGAAGAAAATGGGTTGAAGTGGTAAAAGTTTTTCCGGGTAACAATGTGCTGATTAGGGGGATTCAGGCTTGGGGACAGGATGATTGGGAAACAAACAAGGTTGTGGTCAGAGAGGAAAAGGGGATTGGTAGAGGTTGCAAGGAGTGCACAGGTGAGAAAACACAAGATCTAGTATGTTGCCATCGAGGCGAGTAGGAGTGTGTCCATTGTGTTAGGTCAAAAGAAGAGGTTAGGTTGAGATGTCGAGTGGTAGCCCTGGTGTTAATGTTAGTAGCAAATGTTAAAGTCACCCAGAATGATAGTGGGTATTTTAGAGGAGAAAAAGTTAACCCTAATCAGAAAGTAAACCCTAATTAACTCCTTCTTCCCTTTCCTGACTTATGTATTATATTTCTGCTGCTCTAATTTACTTTAATAACTTGATCTTTTTTCTTTTTCTTTTTTTTGTTCATTACATTTAGTGTAACAATAAAATATATAAAAAAAGAAAATTCAATATTTGTAAATAATTCTGCAATATTTTGTACTAGACTTGTAATTCTAATGTCATTATACACAGGACAAATTATAGAATAAAATGCAGAATACAATGCGTACTTTATCTAGGAACACTATGGGGGTGATTTACTAACCTAAACACACGCACGCACCAGGTGCGTGTGATTTTCACACAGCAAAACGTATTTATCAACCAAAAAGTCTCTAAAAGCATATTTCCGCTAATGCTATATATGGAAAAATCATGCACATGATGCATATATAATGCTGCTTCACAGTTTAGACAAAAATGGTTAGCTCATGCATTTACATTCCTGCATTCAACGCAAGCAACACAACATAGAGTTAATTTACACAACATCACCTTGCAATTCATGCAAGGTTTTGCACAACACACCTGCTGGGTGTGTACACACTACAAAAGGTGTTTAGATTCCACCCATAGATCATGCTGGGAGGGAACACACTACAGGAGGTGTATACATGTTCGTGGTGTGCATAATAAAAATGCACAATATTTAGTTTTGTTGTTTTTTTTAAATATATAGATTGCACAGAATTTTTTTTTTAAATGCAAGACAATATAACCAAACAATATATATGTATAATTTAATTATCTTAAGTAATGACAGCAGTACAGCATCTTAGCAAGATGTTCTTGTAAGGAAGCCAAGTATCTGTAGAATCCAAAAGATTATATGAACACAGATCAGAGATACGTTTGATTATATTTTACTATTATAAAATAATTGCTCAGTCTTTCCTGGCATCATCGTCAAAGTATCTTAAAAACCACAAAAAAATTCCATCGGTCACTAACAGCGGGGCCACTATTAAAGCAGACCTTTCACTAAATAGATGTTCATTTAAGAATTACCTACATATTTTAAGCTACACAAAACACACAGAAAATGTAGGCCAATTTAAAGATTAAAATAATGTGTTGTACAGCCATATTACTGCCCATCATTAAAAATCTCTTGTAATGAGCAGGATAACAGATATATATCATCAAGAAAAAAGTACTGTTTTGGAAGAAAAAGAACTTGGATGGCTTACAAGAAGTGGGCTTCATCAACCAGAGGCATATTTCCCATCATATACAAAACAACACTTCATCAGTGTACAATGTTACTTGCCTCAGCTGGTGGTTGGGTCCTTCAAAGCAGCTATGGAATGTAAAGCTAAACAGAGAGGCAGACTTAGGTTTACACCACAGAGAGAAAAACTGCAGCTGTAAACAAACACTTTGCAATGACATTGCTTGATGTCCTGCCGCGCGGGGAGCTAGGGGTGCACGTGATGCACTTTCCGGGGAAGGGAGGCTGGTTGGGATGGCTAGCTGCCCTTGGTGCACGTTCCAGGGGAAAGGCAGTGGAAGCTTCTTCCTTGAAGGGCGGGGGTCGGCTTGTGGTGCACAGTGACCCACCCAGCTTGCCGACATCACTCGTTGCCAGGAGATGGGCAGGATGCCAGCCAGAGCATCCAGCTCAGCTCTTGGCAACCAGTGACATCAGTGAGCTGCACGAGATGCTTGCCAGAGTATCAACAAGTTACTAAGAGCTTTAAGGAACCTGAGACACTCTGGCCAGAAAGGGGGTAGGAGACACAACTGCCACCCCTCCCCCACGTAACCCAAAGAGATGCCGCTTAAGGCAACCTGCCTCATTAGGGAGATAACTCTACCACTGTGCACTAAATATTGGATGTGGCTTAAATTGGCATTGTTGGATAAAGCCTGGGCATATTTCCAATATATACTGCACACATGTGCCACAGTCCTTGTCTTTTTAAATACTCCTCAATTACTGCGCCACAAAAGAGAGTCAAGAAACTCAGGACATAGAATTGATTAAAAAAATTAAGCTCTCCCATTACCTATTATT